AAAAAAAAAAAAAAAAGCAGCAATTAAGGCAAAGTAAGGAGACAAGGTAACCTCTAATCCAACATGGATGGTGAGCTTCCAGGAAGAGGAAATTCAGGCCTAGCAGTACGGAAGGAAAACCACGAGCAGTAACAGGGAGAGGACCCTCTAGCCCCGGGACTGTGAGAGGGTACCTTTGTGTGGTTAAAGTCATGGGGTCTGTGGTACTTGCTAAAGGCAGCCCGCACAGATTAACACAACTTGCAACCCCACTAACCCTGAAAACATGGCCCCCCCTTATTTTTTTCGGTACCGGGGATCGAATTCAGGACCTTGTGCTTGACAGGCAGGCACTTGTGCTGCTGAGCTAAATCCCCAGCCTGGACCCCATTTTTATAGATGAGAAGATTGGAACCAGAGAAGACAAATGACTTGTCCAAGACAAAAGCGCTCTTAAGTGTTACAGCCCCAACAAGAAGCCTGGGGCTTCCGATTCTAAAACCTGGGTTTTTTTTCTTTTATCAGTATATACTCTGTATTAAAGCATTCCTCATGTTAGACGGTGTAAGAAGAAAAAGTCCTGCTGCACGATGGCATAAAGACTGCTAACAACCAAGTGACACTGATGAGGGCTAAGATGTTACTGGAGAGGAGGAAATGCTCTTAACACTCAAAAACCTCCACAGATCCAAAATCAGCCTCCGCCCCACGCAATCCTTTTAAGGCCATGGGCAAAATCTGAAGCACATTTTTTATCTAGAAGCTGGGAAAAAACGAGAGGCAAGAGTAGGAGTGATAACCAGTGTGGTGACACGCCTGTAATCCAAGCACTCAGGAGGCTGAGGCGGCAGGATTGCCGCAAGTTTAAGGGCAGCCTGGGCTACACAGTGAGACCATCTCAAAGAAAAATAACCGTAGGAGTGGGCACCTGTACATGTCAATAATAAGTGCCTTGTTCTTTAAAACAGGTACTATTTTCAACAATTTTCCTCTGTAAACTTGTACTGTACTAACCTAGCCCGGCCTTTCCACTACAAATGTAGCCAATAAATGCATTTGTTACCAAGGGGATCGTATGTTTACTGAAACTAGGAGCTCTAGCTGTGAGTCTAGAGTCCACACACAGGTCTCTCTCCAGCCCTGGTGTTAAGCCGAACAGGTGAGTATTCTTCCAAAACAGAATACGCTAATTTCAGGGTTGGAGGCCGTGCCACGAGGGGTCCTCCGCAGCCAGCACCTCCGCATTTTGGTGTTTTCGCCAGCTCAGGGCTCAGCGTGGACGGGGGGTGCACGATGAACCCTAGACCCGGGACTTGTGCTCTGGGGTCTCTGGCTGCTTCAGAGCCCAAGGACAGGCAGAGGGGCAATCCATGGAGACTCTGGACTCGTGGGTATGTTTTAAGGCTCCAGTGAATTTTTATGATACACAGACAACACAAATTTATGGGCACCCTGCAGTGTTGACACAGGTGTACACTGTGTACTGCTCCAAGCAGCTCAAACACATCTAGTTCTTTAAACATTCATTCATTCACTCATTTACTTATGGCGGTTCCGAGGATCAAAGCCAGGGTGTGCAGCTGAGCTCCTCTCCTGCCCATACGTCATTTCCTGCTTTCTGAGACTATGCAACTGTTACCTACAGGTGCCTCACTACACAACAGCTCACGGGGGCTGCTCAGCCCTCCCCATCCTGGTAGCTGCTGGCCAGCCTCTCTCTGCTCAGCCCTGTTCTCCAAATTCCCCAGCTTCTGCTAACCACCATTCTTGCAAGTTCATGAGATCAAGTTTTTAAAAAATGTTCCAGCCAGCTGTGGTGGCGCACGCCTGTAATCTCAGCACTCAGGAGGTTGAGGCAGGAGGACTGCTGCGAATGTGGGGCCAGCCTGAGTTATATAATGAGTTCAGGCCCAGCCTGAACTACATACAGAAAGACCTCATCTCAAAACGAACAACAAACCCCACGTGAGTGAGCTCATTTGGTACTTGTCTTTCTGGGCCTGGCTAATTTCATCTAATGCAATGATTGCCAGTTCCATCCTTCTTGTTTCAAGTGACAGGATTTCACACTTTTCTTGGCTGAGTAGTATTCCTTGACTCATGTCATCAGGGCCAGAGGATCTTGCACATTTTTGATACCCGTGGGGAGAGGCTCCATCCTCCACTAGACCGTTCAAAGGCGGGGCATCCCCAAAGGGTGAGGAGCCAAGGCTTCCACTTCAAAGAGACGGGAGCAAGGTGCAATGATAATAGAGGCCTATGCTGACTCTGGGGTGATTTAGTTTTGGACAGGCTCATGAAAGGCTGGCCTCAGATAACTTCCGGTCACCCAAGCCTCTCTACGATGGGCTCCAAGCCACCACCCAGAAGGCCAAGGCTTAGGAGAACCAACTTGTCCTCTCTACAAAGCAAGTCCAATGAGTTACTCCAGCTGCACGGTCAGCAGATGAGCTCCCTTCTCCAGGGGGAGATTCCTCCGGCCCTGGGGGAATCTCAGGCTGGGAGGAACAACCACGCACACTCCCTTCTCAGCAGCCTGAGCTCCCTTCTCCAGCTCAGGCACGGTCTGCAGAACAGGGGGCTGGGGAAATCAAACGAGGCCTTGCAGAAAAACGACCACGCAGCACTAGGGGAAAGGGAACCCCAGCCACGGGGAGAGGCACCGAGGGGAAAACGACTCGGAGAACAGCCCCTGCAAAATCACTCTCGTGGTTATCCTCTCCTCGTTCACTCTGCCATTAGTACCAGGGACGCAGAGGCAGCTGGAACAGAAAGGATGTTAATGACTGTCCCCCCTCTGGTCTCCTAGGGACCAGTGCCCTCACAGGCCTTCCCACCCATTAGATGCTACTGCCAGCTGCGCTTGCCCATGACCCCATTCCCGAGGGACATGCACGTGTACGGGCCTGAGTGAGGACGGGGATTCACCAGGGACACGAGACCCTTGCCCAGCACGCCCTTAGCCCTCCTGCACCCAGCCTCACGTAAGAAAGGGAGGGGCCCCAGCCAGGCAGCGGCCACTTACTCAGTGCCAGGGAAAGTGAGACACTGGTGTGAATGCCAGGCTGCCTCCACGTCTGTTTTATAGACCTCCACGCCTGCCCCACAGGGAGACAGCGCACAACTGAACAAGTGTCAAGTGACAGTGAGGAGAGCCCCGAAGCCAGCTTTCATCCCACGAAGGCCCGGGGTTGAGCCAGCCCGAGCCAGAAGGAACGTTCCGTCCGCAGCCGGCTGCTCAAGAGCTCACTGTGTACCTGCGGAGGGTGGAGGGAACACGCGCGCCGCTCCCCGGTGCTAAGATAATTGCGCCAGCGAGAGCGCTCTGTGCACAACGCCAGGCTAATGGCATCCTGAGCAGTCAGCAGCTCGGGGATTACGGGAAGCAGCCGAAACGAGAGCTACGTATTTGGAAGCTGGCTTGTTTTGCAGTTTAGTGAACACTGCAAAATAAAACTAGAGGCAGAACATTCAGCTGCTGTGGACCTGAGGTGAGCACGAACCGACTAAGACCAGACATGTTTTTCTACAATACCAGTTAAAATTGTAAACAACAGCCCATCCGTGCACTGCCACGAGTGGGAGGCACGGTGACCAGCAGAGCCCCGAAGCCCTCGGCCCCGGGGGAGTGTCAGGCTGGGAGGAACAACCACGCACACCCCATACATGAGGCCTCTCAGCAAGGCCCCTGCGCAGCCAAGTCACAGGGCTAAGATGACCAGGGGGTGAGGGAAGGCCTACCCTCTCAATATAACTCCGCATCAGCCTGGGCCCAGCAGCTTCCGCTCTGGTCTGACAGCAACCATCAAAGGCACCCTGAGAAGCACGCGCAGTGAGGCCTGGCCCCATCCTCGGGGCGCACTCCTGCGGCTCTGCACTCGTGGTGTGGGGACTGACAAGCGGTGGTGAACCTGTAACACCCAGCTGAACTGAACCAGCGTGGTGCTGGCTGTGGGAGGCCCACCTGAGGCGTGTTGCCAACAAAATAAAAAGTGGAGAAGAGAGGCTGTGGGAAGCTGTTAGGGAGCTGCTGGTTCTCCTACAGAAGCTTGTCACGCTGTCTTTCCTGATGAACTTGGCTGTTCTCATCGTTGAAGAAACTTGGGACCTTGTCGCTGAAAATGACTGCGGTTCACTTCGGGGGAGCTCTGGTCCTCACTTTGAGCACTGCGCTCCGGAGGGGAAGATGGTGCACCGCCGGTCTCCTAGAGAAGCTTACTGCATTGGCTTTTCCGATAGGAGCTCAGCTGTTCTCTTCATTGGAGGGGCTCGGGTCCTCACTGTTGCTGAGGATGGCTGTGGGAGCTCTGTTCTTCTGAGCATCACTTCCTGGCTCCAGTGCAGATCCCTCAGCCTGCTAGCACAGATCCTTCATCCCGCTGGCACAGGCTTTCTAGCTTCCACCGCTGACCTTTGGGCCTTCGCAATGCAGATCCATGCAAAAGGCCTGCATGAGATGTTGTCATGGGCTCTGGGCCTCCAGGTGGACCCCTGTGAGGCATTGTTAGGGGCTCTAGGTCTTCAGCTGGACTCACGTGGACATTAACGTGGGATCCAGGCCCTTAGCTGTCCTGTCCTGTATTGCTTCCCCTTGTAAATCCCTGACTACAACACATCGTATTTCGTTTTCTCCCTTTAACACGTGCATGCAGTGAGCAGGCAGGTGACGGTGGCTATCAGTCAGCGACAGGTCTGTTTCTGCCCTGACCTCTCATCTCCTGGCCCTGCTCCCATCCTCAGCAGCCTCACCTGGCCCAGCTACTCAGAGAGCCTCCGATTAAGGGCACAGGAAACCGAGCAGCAGTCCCTAAGATCCCAGCAGGCTGACACAGTCTCCTGGAATACAAGGCCAGTGTGTCCTCTGCACCCGATGTGGTCACTTGGCATCACTGTTTCGCCTCTGACTGGCTCTCTCGCCCACTCATCCTTCTGCGAGGCCCAGCCAGTGCTTAGCCTCCTGATGCCGGTCTGATCACCCCTGTCCGTGTGGCTTCTCTGCGCCCCAAGAGTTATCTGACCTCATTCCCCTCCGGGCTTCCAGTTAGGCGAGATATACACCTACTTGTGTTAATCAAATGGTTGCATTTTGCATTACAGGCTGAGTAGCCCTTGTTTGAAATACTTGGGCCCAAAATTGTTTTGGGTGTTGGAGTTTTATGAATTTTGGAATATTTGCATAAATGTTATTGGTCAAGTGTCTCACATCAGAAAATCCAAAATCCAAAACATCTTTTTTTCTTTGTAGTACTAGAGACTAAATCCAGGAACTCTGCTCTGAGCTACACTCCCAGCCCTTTTTTGTTGTTTTACTTTGAGACAAGGTCTTGCTCATGCTGAGCTTGAACTTGCGATTCTCCTGGCTCAGCTTCCCAAAGACCTGGAATCACAGGCATGCACTACCACACCCAGCTCAAAAGATTCTGGATTTCAGATCATGTTGGAGTTTCGGCTTAGGGATGTTCCAGTCACAACAGCAGTCCCACAGTCCTAACTGACACATGTAAACTCAATCATTTAATCTTTGCAACAACAGCCTAACTGCAGGTAAGGAAACATTCTCATGGTGGCCAAGTACAAACTCAGGTAACCTCCCCCTGCTTCTCTTGCCCAAAATACCTTCCTTGCTGCCTGAACCCAAGGCATCTTTCAAGCCCCCAGCACCTACTTGTGTGCTGTGTCCTCCGAGCATGGCAGCCTGGCAGCAGCTCCCTTCAGAGCTGCTCGAAGCGGCTGTAACTGTCTAAGGGTCCCAGACTACTTGTTCCAGGATGAACATCGCATCACCTTGTGTGTGTTTTGGGTTTTCATTTCCTCACACATTTGCTGGCAACAATTTCACGCTGTACTGGACACCGTCGGCTTACTAAGCAACCTGACCCAAATACCTAACCCTCTGTTCCTTGAACTTGCCTTACAACCAGAGCATCAGCCTGGCAAGTTCCCGACTTACAATACAGAATGAATTCCGCTGAGGATCACTGGGATGACAGATAACTGAGAGGACCGGGCACTGGTCCTCCCAGGAGCAAGACAGACAGGAGTCCAGAAAGGCAAAGCCAGGCATGGTGGCACAGGCCTGTAATCCCAGAACTCGGGAGGCTGAGGCAGGAGGATCACTGCAAGTTTGAGGCCAGTGTAGATTCTGTGAGCTCAAGACCAGCCTGAACTACATAGTGAAACCCTGCCTCAAGAAGACAAAAACCAAAAGCAAACAGAAAGGCAGATCGGACCATCACCAACTACTCGCCGCCTCCCTGAGCATCCAGACCTAGATGCTCCAACTAGAAGTGAGAGGGATCTGGAAAGAAGAACCAAACAGCCCCTCCGAGAAGGTACCCTCCACTGCAATGGCGCAGAACTGGCCCGTAAGGAACAGCCTGGCAGGGTGACTCAGAGAAGACAGCCATTTATCATTCCTGAGGAAGGCGTAAATTGCTTTTCCTGCTTTGGGGGAGGGGGAGACATTTGGTATGACACTGTATGGCACTTGTATGACATCAAAAAAGATGTGCGCTGATGGAAAGGAGCGGAGCTGTGGCCTGGGGAAAGGGCGAGAACCGAGGAGTGTCTGTGAAGCAAGGGTGATGGCGGGGCTGGGCCACCGTCCTCCGTGGGGCAGCTCGGCGGCACAGCGGGTCCCTTTCCCCGAAGGTCAGTGCTGCCCCCCGCTGGCGGCCTGCGCAGCACAGCCGTCCGGGACAGCCTCATGCCCCGGTCTCCTTTCCTTTTGTCGGATCTGAGTCGCTTTAGCAGGTAGGAAGCACCCAAAATATGATTTGCTTCTCCCTTCACTGGCAAACAAAACCAAGGGCTTCAACTTTGAAATGTCTTTTCAAATTTTAGAAGGCATGAAAGTCAGAACGGTGGGAATTTTGAGCTGAAGTCCTAAACATCGCGCAGATCCCTGCCAGACCTGCATCTCGTTGCCAAGCCGAGCCCCACCTCACCCCCACCTTCGGCCCTGCTGTCACTCACTCTCAGGCGTCCTTGCTCGGCAGCTCGGGGGTGGGCAGCTCTGCCACCCTGGCCCGTTTGCTGAGCTCTTCCCCAGGTGGCTCCTCAGCTGCTTCCAGCTTGCGTTTGGGGGATGCTGCGCCGCCGGGTACTGGCCTGGGGCCTACAAGGAGGCACGCGAAGGGGTCAGAGGTGGCGGACCCTGCCACAACGGCCCGCCCGGCCTGCGCTGTGCAGCACTGCTCCTCGGGGAAAGGGAACCGGCGGCCCCTCCTGCTCCCTCCACACCTGTGCCCTTCCGCTTGGGGCTGGCTCCAGCCTCCCCTCTCGGCGCTCCCACCCTGAGGACCTTGCCCCGCAATCTGCTGCCACAGATCTGCCCCCTCTACAGTCACATCCTGAGGCCGGCTTCTCTCCTGTGCGCCCACAACGGGGAAATGAGGGCTTACTCAGACGGGTGGTTTGCAGTGTGCCTGGCTCTGCCCCCTCCTGGAAACCCACTCTTCCCCAGCTCCTCTGGCCCAGGCAGGCCTAGGGCCCAGCTTGGCTTTCCTGCAGCAGTGACCTTGCCTGGAGATACTGAGAAGGGCCGGCTAGGCCTGCTGGCAGTAAGACCGCTCTGGCCCCCAAATCTGCGTGCTCCAAGCCAGAGACTGCTCAGCCTGTCCTCCGTCCTTGCTCTGATGGTGAGGTATCCCCTGCGCAAGCGTGGAGTGGCCTGGAGAGCGGCAATGAGCAGGCCACACTCTCAGCGGCGGCCTGGCAGGCAGACTGGAAAGACCGCTGGACTCCACACCAGTTTCGCATTACTGTACTGATCACAACAGAGCTGGGCTCTGCAGGGAGCCTCGGGTGCACCACACCTGCCTGTTCTTCACTGCCTCTGCCTCCTGCCTGGACACTGTAGCAGCCTCCTTCCGCGCCTCCCTGTCCCACCTGTCCTACACCACCCGCTACACGTAGCAGTAGGAGCTTCAGGAGCCTTGGGCCACCCCACGCTTGAGTGCTCCGGAGACCGCCTGCCACCGAGCTACAGGAACTGTCCCAGCTTCTCGTACTGACACTGCTACACGGCCACCCTGGCCTCCCTGCCTGTCCAGGGGATGGGATCTGCGCATTCCTGTGTCTGAGCCATTTTTGCTATTACCTCTGCCTAGAATGTTCTTTTTGTAGCTCTAGGAAGGGCTGGCTCCTGCTTATTATGTAGGAAATAAGCCACTGTTCAGAGAGGTGCTCCTTGGCAGCTAAACTGACCCAAAGCAGCCAGCCATGGGGGCACACGCCTGTAATCCAGCATGGGGGAGGCTGTGGCAGCAGAACTGCCACAAGTCTGAGGCCAGCCTGGGCTACATAGTGAGTTCAAGGCCAGTCTGAACTACATTGTGAGACAGTCTCAAAACAAAGCAAGACCTAAAGGAACCCCTCCCTCCAGCCCCTCTCTACCAAACTCCTCACCTTGACGTGCCCAAGCACCTGCGATCTGAATCGGTCTTTCTTGGTTCCCTTACTACCTGTCTGCCTGGCAAACACAAGCCCCACTAGGCAAGTGCTCATTCTGGCCTCAGCCCCACGGGACGGAGGGGGAGGCACAGGCTGTGGTCATAGGCCGCAGGCCAGGTACTGCCACTCACCCGTGCTGGTGCTGCTCCCAGCCTGGCTCGAGCTGGGCTCTGCCACAGGATGGCTGAGGTCTTCCACACAGGAGGGGACAGATGCTAACAGACCTGGGGGAGAGGGGAAGGAATCATCAGTTGCCCAGGAAACTGCAGGGCAGAAGAAACAGGCAGCGGGGGACAGGATCATGACATTGAGGCTGTATCTCTTCCTCTGCCCTCAAATACTCCGGAGGTCCAATCTAGTCCATCACTCAAGGTCCTATTCCAGGAAGCCAGGTCAACCTCACAGCCTGGCAGAGAGGTTGTGGCTCCCTCAGCAGACACCTCGAGACCCCCATCTACCCTCTGGGCCTGCGGGTGCTGTCCTGCCCTTCAGGAGCTAGGAGAGGGGAGGGCAGAGGCCCCTTACAGAGTCCCCGGTAGCGTGAAAGCTGCTGGTAAATCTGCTTCATCCGCTCGATGTTGAGCCGGCTGGTCTCGGCATGGTTGACGATGGGCCGTGGGTAGTCCACACCGATGATGCACTTGGCTGCCTTCTGAACAGACTCCGGGGCATTCCAGGGCTCATAGATATATCGGGAGGGGAATCCTTTCAATTTTGGCAAGTATCGCCTAAAACACACACAGGACGTCCTGTCAGCGCACCCAGCCCCTCCATCCTAGGAGGAGGCCACAGCGGTCAGAAGCCAGCCTGGCCTGCATCCTACCTGATATAGTCCCCACTGGGGTCCGTGCGGCGGCCAAAGCCAACAGGGCAGTAGCAGTGGAAGAACTGCTGGAAGAAAGCGCTGCAGGACAGCCACATCCAGCTGCCCGCGTTCACGCTGAAGTCCGCATCCAGCAGCAGCTCATCAAACACCTACACGGGGGAGGGACACTATCAGCTTCCTTGGGGACCCCCTGTCCCAGTTCCTCCCAAGTCACCGCAGCACCCCAAGGAGCCAGAGTCCTTCTGCTGAGGGCAGGCCTCAGAGGGTTTGGAGGGGATCTCTTGGACCCAGGGATCCCATCCCATCCCCAGCCCGGTGGGGTCGCCCTTGCTGGGCCTGAGGCGGGGTGGCAGGCCAGCTGTCACTGAGAGGTCACTCACCCGGACCCCGCTCTCCCAGCTGACCCAGAGGTCCCCGCGCGTGAGGAAGCAGGCCACGGCGTGCCGGGCCAGGTGGTGGATCCAGCCCTCCTGCCTCAGTTGTGTCATGATGGCGTCAATCCAAGGAAAGCCCGTCTTGCCCTCGGCCCACTTGGCCAGGGCCTCGGGGTTGCGGTCCCAGGGGATCTGGATGCAGATGGGGTTCCCCTCCATGCGGTCAAACTTGGGGTTGTTGGTGGCTGCCGTGTAGAAGAACTCTCGCCATAGGAGTTGCCCAAACAGGGACAGGGGGGGTGTGCTGTTCCGCTTCACCTGGGGGCGGGGCAGCACAGCTGTAAACACCTGCAAGCTCTTAGCTCCATGTCACTCAGGTCCCATTCACAAAAGAATCTGGAGCCCTGATAGCCTTGGTGGCCCCACCCCCCCCCCCAGACAGGCAGAGGGACCATCCCCTAGAACAAGAGCTATTGGGTACCCACAAACTCAACACCCAGGTCCTGCCTGCAAGGCTACTGCTCTGAGCATGGAGAATGGCCGTGAAAGGTGCCAGGGAGGGGGACACTGTCGCAGGAATCCACCACAGGCCCCAACCTCCTCGAGCCTGGTCATGATCCTTATGCCCTGGCGGGTTCCACGTTCTACAAAGTCCAGAAGTGTTTTTGCCTCAGCACACACACAATACTCAGGCTAGATTTGACTAAATAAGTGATATAAAATACTCTGCAACTGGGACCATGAGTGAATCAAGAGATCAGACCTCCACATGAACAATGATTTCCTGCGGTCACAAGAGTCCCCACTGAGCTGCAGAGCTTCCCCACGCCACGAAGCCTTGCTACTGGCAAAGATGGAGAACTGACATTAAAAGATGCGGACACTGGCTGATCTGAGGAATGGAAAGGCTGAGCATGCTGTCCTCTCTCCTTCCGGGTGGCTCGCCACAGGGCCATCTGCCTCTTGTCCCTGCAGCACGGCCAGGCACGCGGCCACTCTAGTCACTCTCTCACCCCTGCGCCCTTCTGCTTGGGACTGGCTCCAGCCTCCCTGTCCGTGCTCCCACTCTGAGGACCCTGCTGCCAACAGATCTGCACCTCTATGGTCACACCCTGAGGCCTGCTTTCCTCCTGTGCAGGCGCACAGTGGGGAAAGGACGGTTTGCTGAGATGGGTGACTTGCGGTGTGCCTGGCTCTGCCCGTCTCGGAAACCCACTCCTCCCCAACTCCTCTGGACCAGGCCTAGGACCCACAGGGAAGAGCCTTCTGCAGGGTGACTGAGGGCCCAGCGGGCCTGGCCCAGCTGGCTGGAGATGTGGAGGGCATGTGGCCCTCTGCGCTCACCTTTTTATACAGGTCCCACAGGCGGTAGTAGAAGAGGCGGCAGGAGAGGCAGCCGAAGCGCAGGTAGGGGCTGAGGCCTGTGGGACTGGCCAGCAGGGAGTTGGCATTCATCCGGGGTCTCTCATAGTTGGCAACCCAGGCCTGCAGGGGAGGGCGAAGACGATGAAAGGAAAGGCCTGAGGCCCTGCTGGGAAAGGCTTTGACCAAGGGACAGTGAGCCATTGAGTCAGGCCTTGAACACGGAGCCTTCTGCTGCTTCATGCTTTGCACTGAGATGGAACCACCAGGCAGACACCTGGCCCAGGCTCTTGCTTGAGCTCTCTACTTCTTCTGTGGCCCAAAGCCAGGCGCAGTGGTGCACTCTGGGAGGCTGAGGCAGGAGGACTGCAGGTTCTAACCCTGCCTGGGTAGTTTAGCAAGACTCTCCAAAAGTTAAAATAAAAAATAAAAGGGGATGGGCATGAAGCTCAGTAAAGGACTGTGTTCACTCTCTGGTACCACCCACTCGCCCCTCCAGAAAAAGGAAAAAGAGAAAATAAATTGATATTTTGTTTGTTTGCTTGGGTTGTTTTGGAGTACCAGGAATCAAACCGAGGACCTTGTGCTTGCCAGGCAGGCGCTGTGCTGCTGAGCTATATCCCCGGCCCTAAGAAAAGAAACTGGTTCACTGGGAATGAGTTATTTTGTCTCCCAGCTACTTATCTATTAAATAAGAACAAAATTTTCCATCTCTGGGGATTAAATGAGCTCTCAAAGAATTCTGAAGGGACCGAACAAGCTATAATTATCTAGAAGGAAGCAAACGCCTCCTGTTCTGCAGGATGAAAGCATCCTCGCTGCTCCTGCTCTCATCCGCAGGCCTGCGGGCTGCTGCTGCACCACGGGCACCAAGCAACTTCTCAGTACTGTTCAGCAGCGGCCAGGGAAGCGGGGAACTCCTGACCCATTTCTGGGGACCAGCACAGTCATTCATTCCTGGGCCTGACTGCTGGCTTCTGTTATTGATCTTGTTTTATCATCAATAGCCTTCGCATTGTGCTCCACTTTCCTGCTTGCTCAGCAGCTCCCCGAGCAGTACTCATTTCACTGCCTTCTGTCATCACCTTTTTTTTTGTCTTTTTGAGGCAGGGTCTCGCTATGCAGTTCAGGCTGGCCTTGAGCTCACTTTGTAGCCCAGGCTGGTCTCGAACTTGCAACAATCCACCTGCCTCAGCCTCCGAGTGCTGGGATTACAGGTGTGCACCACCACGCCCGGCTTGTCGCTGTCTTCTGACAGTGAGGAAAGGAAACTCAAGGGTTCTGTGCCCCTCAGGTTCAGATGGGCTTCTGACCCCAGATTCCGGTCTCTTTCATTACAGCTTATGAAAGCTCTTTCTCACCTCCTGGGTATCTCTGTTGGCGCAGCCTAGGCTGCCCCAATGCCCAACCTCATATTGTTTCAATCTTTTCATTTTAAATGAAACAGCCAGAAACCCAAACAAACATAAGGCTTAATAAGTGTTTCCAAGGCGAACACCTATGCAACCACCATCAAAGTTCAAGAAGTGGGACTTTGCCCAACACTCTAGAACTGTCTCCTCCTTCCCCGACCAGCGATTCTGACCCAGACTGCACAATTACTTCCTCAACACCTGACATGTTTCCGCGCACCCCTACACGCTATAGTTTAGCACTTGTATCTAAACAACTTAAATGTTACTTAAATTTGTTTTAATTCTATTACGGTTTAAATAGAGAATGTCCCAAGCGCCTCATGGGCTCACAGGCAGGGCTTCTGGAAGGTGGCTGGACCAGGGAGCTACAGCTGATTTGCTGATGGAGGTGGGGTCACTGGGGGTCTCTCTCTCCCTGCTCCTCCTGTCTCTACTTCCTGGTGACATGACATGAACAGCTCTTCCTCCTCTCCTTGCCCTCCCTTGGAGTCAGGCAGTGTGGACTGCAACTCTGAGCCCAAATAACCCCTCCTCCTTTGAGCTGTGGGTGTTTGGTATTATGTCTCAGTGGGCTCTGTCTTTGCCTGTGTGTTTTTCTGTGGAAGAACCCAGGCCATGGGACTGGTGGAGATTCCCAGGCTGGACGCGCTGACTGGACACTCATGGTGCAGTTCAATGAGTCTCTCAGTCGTGTGCTGGCTGGCAAACGGGGAGCTCATGGCAGAGGCTGGCCGGGACCTGGGTCTGACCCTTTGAGAAGTCTAGAGGGCACACACGGCCTGAATGTCCCTGTCTGTGGTGCTGGCGGTCATTAATGCATAATGTGGCGTCACTGGGGGCTGCGTTCAACCATCAGAAGAGTTTTATGGCAGTGCCTGTCCTCATCTACCGTGTGTACCCCAGAGGGAAAGATCGTACAGTTGGCCTCGCTTTTCTGGTAAGAGCACCTGTCTTCTTGTGAAGACCCAACCTGCCTCAGTGGAGCTAAGGCCACTCCCAACTTGCCCAGAAAAGCACCGGACCCTAGCCACCCTGCAAGTCACGTGCCCAAGCCAGCACTTTTCCTGAAGCATCTGGGAAAGAGGCATACACCTTCCTCTGGTGTTGCCAAACAGACGGACGACGGATCACCTCTGCCACTACTCAAAGAAAGTCTGCCTGAGAATGCACTAACACAGCGGAAAGCGGAACTGAGGGAGGCAGACGCCTTCCGACCGAGTTCTTTGGACACCTAGTCCGGCTGTGCCTGAGAGCTACACTTCAACTCCTGCTTGTGTGTGTTAAAAGCCTTTCTCAAAAGCTGGCTGCAAATAAGAACTGACTGCCACGATCCTCATTCTCTTTACTCCCATAGTGCCCTCTCCTTTCCTAACCCTAAGGGCACCTTTCATCCCTTGTTTAACGTCATCATCTCTAGCAGACTCTGGACAGATCCCATCCCTATCTTGTTCGGTCGTCTTTGCAGCAGCTTGGATGTCCCGCTGTGAGCGGCTACTCACACCAGATCTGGACACTGCAACACTTAAACCCAGACAGGTTCAACTCCCGTTCACCTAGCACCTCTGCTCTCTCAGACATGCAGGACACAGTCTTTCCTCTGGTCACCCCGGAACAGAATGGGTCCATGACAGAAGGCCCCCTCCAGGGCTGCGGGGGAAAATAACTCCTGACGTGGTGATCTGAGGGGGCGTCCTCTATAAAATGCCTTTAGGGTAACAAAAACTACAACCCATGAGGACACAGATTAGCTCTTTACATTTTCAATCTTTTATTCTGCTGTCCCATTTGTCACCTCCATCTTCTGCCCCTTTAGCCCAACCTGTGTTTCCAAACTGAGCCTAAGAACTGCTGGGTAAAATTCTTGATGTACAAGAGAAAACTGGTCCTCTCGTGGCCTTTGGCCACTGGTCTCGTGTTTCCAGCCTGGGGGGGTTACTTCTGGCCTTGCTTTCTTTTTTTTTTTTTGGTTTTTCGGTTTTTTTTCCCCGGTACCAGGAATCGAACTCAGGACATTGCGCTTGCCAGGCAGGCACTGTGCCGCTGAGCTAAATCCCCAGCCCCTGGCCTTGCTTTCATCTGGCTGCTAGGCACAATGCCTTGCCATCTGAGCAGCAATAGAAGAAATTGTGACTTCAAGCGCCAGCTTGCAGGGTAGGGCACTAGCAACTAATAGTTCCCGGTCAGGGGCTCCCAGTCACAGGGTGGGGGCTGTGTGCCATGGCTGAGGGTCCACGCAAATGGAAGTCGAAGCCCTTTTGCTGAGGAGACCCAGCAAAAGGTGGGGGGCACATCAATACAAAATAATTCATCTTACAGGCTTCTGTGAGCAGATACTCTCTCAGCATGGTGTACCTGCCCACAGATACTGTACAAGAAAGGCAGTCTGGTGCATGTTTTCTAATCAACGGCCGAGGCCTCACTCTGCCATTTACCAACTGTGTGACCTCAGGCTAGTTATTTCACCTCGCTAAACCTTACTTCCGTAACCTATAAAATGGGGCGCCTAATACCGACCTTGCAGGGCTGTTGGAAAGATTAAAGGCAATAATATAAGCAGATGCTTAAACTAGAAATGCACCACCCAGTGACCAGCAGGAGGGAAGGACTCTGAACAGTAATTGTTATTGCTGCTGCTTTTGTGGCCGCTATTTTTGCCACCGGGAGGACTTTTCCACTTTTTAACCAGCTGGTGCTAAGAGGCACCAAGGAACACAGACCCGCACCATACCCCCTGCTGCATGGGCACCAGCACCTGCAGTCCAAGGCTCATACCTTCCGTTCCAAGTGCTTATCCAGGCGGGCCAGGGCTTCTGTCTCCCCTCCTTGCCAGACAGCGGGGCCCAGTCCTTCGGTGGGGAACCCTGTAAGAGGAGGAGCCCGTCATAGGCCTGGAGGTCAGGCCACCTCAGCCACTGCCAGAGCTTAGACACACTGTCTGCTCTGTATACTCTGAAAGAGCTGAACCACACTTCTTGTCCTTGGTGCTACAGAAACCAACAGATTTTCTAGGTCATCTCCGTTCTCCGCCAACTGTCATTATTTTCTCCTGTTTCCCTTGCCTTCCCTCTCCCGGGCCCTCCTCATTCCGGGCAGGAACAATCCTGGACCTCGTGCCCTTTCAGATGAGCAGGCCATGAGTGTGGTCCCGAGGTCAGAAAGGTTACCCCTGTTCAGATCCAGAGATGGAGGGGGGCTACGGGGTGGGCGCAGAGTCTGTACAGACACAGTGCTGGCCACCCTGTACTGGGAAGCGCACCACGCCCGACCAGAGAGTGCGTCTCTGTCCGAGGGGAGAACACGAAAGAGGCAGGAGCCAGAAGCAGAAGACTGTATGAGTCTGCACACCAGTAAGACTGAAGGATACTCTCCAAAATGAATGCGGTTATTGTGGGGTAGGGGAATAGAGGTTATTTCCTCTTTGCTGCTCTGTATTTTACAAACTGTCTATAATAACATGCATTAATTCAATAACACACATTAATCTGACAAAGAAGGAAACCCCAATAAGTTGCTTTCCATGAATGGAAGCAGCTGCGTGAGGCCTGGGAGGACGCACGCACCCAGCTCCTCCAGGGAGGGCACGCCATAGGTGTCGTCGTGGTTCTCCTGGGTCCCTGCCCGGCAGCTCTCCATCTGCTGGCTGCTCACCGCGCCCACCGGCTTCTTGGGCAGCTCCATGCGGCTGATGATAGCCTGAAAGCGCTTGTAAGTAAGGGGCGGCTTCTGCCCATTCAACTCGATGATCCTGGGGACCGAAACACGCCTGGCGTTACTCCCGAGGCCCTTTGTTCTGAGTCCCTGCCCACCCGAAAACAGCCCCGACTCCGAAAGCTTTGCGGGTGGCTCTCCTCATCCGCTCACAGGTCCCACCCAAGTGGAGAGGAGAGGGTACAGGGGCTGCATCTCCATTTTACCGAGAGGGAAAATGAAGCCCCGAGAGCTGGAGCAGGAGCCTCCGGTAATGGAGCAAGGCCGGGCCAAAGCTCGGACTCAACGCCAGGTTCCCTGGTGTCCGCGTGGAGCTGCCTAAAGACAGAGACTGACCATGTCTCTCTAACCACAGAAAAATCCCTGCTGGCCTTCTCGGTCCTTGGCCTGTCTGACCACACCACGGCCCCCTCTCCCCCAGCAGGAGCCTTGCAGAAGTGTGTGGAGAGTTGCAAACGTGCCCCTTCCTAGGGAGACCCTCCTCCTGCTGGCTTTTGCCTGACAGAGCAGAGAGGCTGGCATGGGAGGAGCAGCAACAACTGATACCTAAAGAGCTTTGCAGTCTACAAAGTATTCTCCCTGAGTGGGTGAACCGACTGCACTTGTGCAAGAAAAAGTGGATACAGGAGGTGAAGACGAGAATGGAGGCTGTTTATATTAGGATAAAGTGGAATGGTTTGCAGCCAGATTCCTGGGCTCCTGCCGGCCAAGAAGCAGCTTACGCAAGACCCGGCCGGCGGGCGAGTTGTTTCTTGTCCGCTCCCTGCTGGCCCTCCGTGAGCCGAGATGGACGGCTGGCACTGCTCTGCAGTCCCCCACCTCGGCACGTGGCCGGAGGACGAGCTCCACACCCTGCCTCTCCTCCTGAGGCCCGGCTCACGTGCACAGCTGTGTGACCCGGCCTCCTGGCGGATGGCCCAGTTGGGGAGGGGGGCAGGGAGCCGTGGTGGCTGCCAGCTTGGCAGCAGCAGAAGGAAAGGGAGGAGGCACAGAGGTCTGTCACCGGAAGGCAGTTGCTCTGTGGTTACCAGGTCCCTGCAGAGACCTCTAGAGCCCCCCAAGCAGCACTGAGATGCACAGTGCATCTCAGTACAGACTCTGGGCCTACGCGACCAGGGATCTGCTGGGAGGGGTCCCAGGCAGGGTCTGCCAGGGACAGAGGGCAGCACTGGGCAGCATGACAGAAGCAGCATGCACGAAGCACAAACGGGACAGGAGCAGCTGAGGGGCAGATTTAGGAAGATCCAGAGGAGGAACCCTCACTGCCTAATTAGCCTCCTTACCACCCAAATCAGGTTAAGCTCCCTGTGACCTGCTCTAGAGGCCCATGCTTTAGAAAATGCCATACCCCAGGAGCCAGTGGTCCTATGGCCGATCTTCCCTAAGCTCCGTTCAGCAGGGGCCCAAAGCACCAGCCCTCATAGGGGCCCCCTGACCCTGCGCCTGTCCCTTACCTGTCCAGGTCATAGAGGGTATGGGAGTTCTCCGTCACCACCTCCACACCAGCCTCCTTGGCCATCTTCATGATGGCCGCATCCCGTTCCTTCCCAAAGGGTTCGGAGTCGTACTCAAAGGTCAGGCGGGTCACCCCCCATTCCTGCAGGGAGAGACTCTGTCATGCTCATCACTGTCTGGAGGGGTCGGGGGACACTGGGCAGGAGCTCCTTCCTGGGAGCAGACCAAGCCAGTGGCCAGCCCTGGCAGAATGGCTGCGGAACACATGAGGGACACTGATTAACGTGAACAACAAGCACCGAGGTTGAGAAAGTATGAGGAGGCAGCCCGCGAGGCGCGGCCAGTGGCGCAGCAGTGGCAGAGTCAGGAGAGGAGGGCGCTGGAGTAGGAGAACGCAGCAGGAAGCTATAAATACAGGGCTCCCAGGGGAGCCCCGTCCAGAAAGAGGCACTGACTCACAGTGGAGGCAGCGGGGGACAGGACCGCCACCTCCCGTCTGCTCGGCAAGCCTTTCCCAGGACTCCTCATAGCCTACAAACTTGTGGCCTAGTTTTCTTGGCAAACTCGTGCTATGTAAAGTGTCTTCATGGTTTCCACAGCAACACTGCTGAGGCCAGGAGCAAACAGAACTAATAGGCTCCAGCTCTCCAGCTTGGGAAGGAGGAGCGAGTGCTAGTCCAGAGCTGGGAGAAATTAGAGCAGAGTAGCCAAAGGTGCAGGGGGGAATTCTGTGTTCAGTCACTTCTGGTAGGTCTCTCAGCAACTCCGAGGAAAGCTGGCCCGGTGAAAGGCTATTTGGACACCAGCCCCCACAGCCTCCGAGTAGGTAACCAGCAAGAAGAGAAACACAGTCTGTAGCCGAAGTCTGTGATCATGGTCGCTTAAGGCTCTGAACCAAGGGAGCAAGTGTCCCACACATGGCCATGCTGGTCTGGGCCTGATGCAGCTCACAATCCCTCACGCAAGGAAGACAGCACTGCACATTTACTGAGCACTTCCCATAGCCCAAGCCTTGTGCTTACAGGACTACGTTATTAAGTACTCACCATCCCCCTGTGAATAACAACAATACTATTATTAAATGATACTCTCCATCCTTCGACATGATTCTCCTGAGCCCTGTCCTATTTCCAACAGAGCACCTATCACATGGCACTGAAGTTGCCCGTTACCTACCTGGTTCCCATTAGAGTGGGAACTCAGAGCAGAAACCATGCTGTCTCACTCACCGCTGTTACCCTGCTACCTGGTAGGGGCCTAGTACATAGTAGAAATTCAATAAATATACAACGAGTGACCGCATGAATGAGTGGTCCATTATCCTAGTTGAAACTGGGTTGGTTTCTGAGGTGCTAGGGAAGAAAGGAGCAATGCGGAGGGATAAGAAAGACAACATTCTTTCCCCAGTGCTGAAGATCAACCCCAGGCTGAGGGCTGCCAGGTAAGCACTGAACTGTGCCCCCAGCCCAGCAAATGTCTTATGTGGTACGGGGGGTGAGGACACAGCTCTGGAGTCAGTGGCTCACTAGCTTCGTGACCGTGATTGTTTCCTCACCTGTAAAACGGGTAACAGTGCTGCCCACAACTGCCACAGGGTGGGTCAGTGCATGTGAGCTCTTGGAATGGTCTTGACTCAGTGTGAGCCCCCAGTGGATACTGGCAATTACTAGTACCGAGTGATGTGTACCCGTGTGGGGAATGGTGGGGGTTCGGAGAGAGAAGTGAACGATGACATATTTATGAAGCTGACTGCCTTGACATCAGCCTTCTCCTGCCATGGAGCTGGGGCGGAGGGCCATGAAAACCAGCATGTGCTGCTGAGGTGAAGAGAGGCTGCCCTGCAGCCCTCCGCCCATGACTACTTCTGTCTCTATTTGGGCCTCCAACATGCTTTGTAAAGGATGGGAGAGAATGGCAGCCGCTCCCACAGGGCACACAAGTCTATGTGGCGCCCCAGTGAAGATTTTATCCAGGGGGGAAACAGGGACGCTCCCTTGGAAAGGCAACTTTTCCCCCTAGAAGCAGAGCAAAGCAAGATGGGAACCAGCCCTTGCTAGACAGGAAACCCCACCCTCCACGACCTGGCACAGCAGGAGCCCTATTAAATCTCACTGGCCTGAGCCAAGAAAACATCTAAGGAAGCCAGTGGCCCTGGGTGGAATGACTTACTGCATCGCATGTCTGGACTGAGCTGGGAGCTCTCCAACAAGACACTGGCCTCGCACAAGTTTTTCCACCCTGCCGGCGAGCTCAGTGGCAGCCTCTGCTTCCCGCTTCCTTAGCAGCCATCTGACGGCCACACCAGCCCTACCATTTCCATCTCCTCAGTCAGAGCAGCAGCTCCCCGCGTCTGCAGGGAAGCCCAGCAGCAGCGCCTCCCCATCGTCTGGGGCCCACACACTCACCTTGAATAGCCTTGGGAACACATCCGCTGGCTGTCCCCGGACCACAAATAGGCGGGAGTTGAGTTTCCTTAAACTTGTGTCCAGATCTTCCAGAGACTGCAGCAGAAACCTGCAGGGGCCACACGGGCCTTGTCAGTGGTCGCATGACAGAGGCGCTCTTTCCTAACACAGCAGCAGGAACTGGCCTGCTTTGTGGCCAACGAGGGTGTGCTGAGCAGGAGGTCTGGGTCCCAGCCCAGGAGGGAGGAAACGGGTCAGCGCGGCCTTGGAGGGAATCCTGGCCTTGCCGTCTCCTGGTCGCATGACCCTAGGCAGTGACTGCATCTCTCTAGCCTGTCTCTCATCTGCAGTAAGGAATTATGCCAGTACCTACAAAGATGCTGACATGTTAGTGCTCACAACCGCTATCAAAGAATATCCGATAATGTGAGAAAAACATTTAGCCCAGAGCGTGGCACAAAGAACTAGCGGGACAGACGTGAGCTGCTCCCCCCGCTGTGCTCCCGAGCGATCAGAGACCAGCGTCCTCTATTCTCTCAGCCTCGAGTGCAGTGGGTAACTAGCCGCCTTGGTGTGAGAATCAAATGAGAATGGGGGGAGAAAGCCCCCGGAAAAGGCTGTGACATTGTGCCGTGGAAGAAATCAGGTCCCTTAGCAGAGAACAGACTGCCGCAGCCCTACCTGCCCTGGTCCGGCGACCTCCTCACCTTTCTGCATTTATGCTTTGGGCTGCATGTTTCCCAGTGCTGGGTCCCCAGTCCCCAGTGCTCTGCTTGGCAGGAGACTCACCCACCAAGTTCTCATCCCAAGAGGGACACGGGGCTTGGGACCAAACACGCAGGGGCTGGGGTGGGAGGACACTAGGGACACTCAAGATCCCCTGCAGGAGAGGTGAATCACCAGGAGAAAGGACAGGAAATTAACCTTTGCTGAGTACCTCCAGTGGTTTATTTTTAAATTAACATTTTATCCAGATAACTATTCATGTGTTTCAAAACCCCAGGGACAAAAGCATGACAGGAAGAAGTGTCCTCCACTGCTTCTCTCAATCAAGATTATCAATTTGATTATGTATGTCATGCTTTCTCAGTGCATTTCCTCATCTAGTTCCTCAGTGTAGTGTCAAGGAAACTGTACTTTCCCCGTTGTATAGATGAAGAAACCGAGGAAGAAGGTTAATGAATTTACCTCCGATCACAGCTTCACTAAGTGCCAGAGCTGGTTCAGGAACCAGGTTGAGGCAGACTCTAAGCCCGTGCTTTCTTCTCTGAGAGACCCTGTAGCCCTGAGCTTGGAACCCCGCACTGTGAGGGACTCAGGCCTCACACAGGTACGCACTGACATTCTGTTCCGCCTCAGGACCACGCCTTGACAGGGCACCCTGCCTGTGCCATGGGTCCTCCGAGGAGCCTGCTGCCTAGTTCTGGCCTCTCCACTCATCCCCAGCATTCTTCGTCTCTGTCAACAACAGCAGTCACCACATTTTATTTCCAGCACAATGAAACCCCGCACCTCCTCTGGAGCACATCACCCTCCCTGACCCCTGGCAGCTCACAGAGCGGGGACAGTGCCCAAGCTGCAACCAGAACCAGCCCCCGCTGTTGCCTCTGACGTATGCAATGGGGCACAATTCCATGGCCAAAGCAGCAGGCCCACATTCCAGCATGAGCTGAGCCCTGGACCGGTGTCAAACCATCATGTTAGCCATACACAGCATGCAGGGTCACTGATGGGAGACTGACAGGTCAATGTTGCTGTGTGTAAACCGAGAGCTCTGCCTCTGAGTTCCTCCTGTGAAAACCTGACACCCCCTAAGTGCTAAGCCATCTGTGTGTGACGGTGATGGTGACGCCTGCATTGCCTTCCTCTAGGTCTCATTACTTCTCCCAGAAGGACAATAAGAGACCCATGAAATAGCCTAAGCCACCCAAAACCAGGCCTAGGGACAAGGGGCAATTTAAATTCCACTTGTCCTAAACCTTAGGACAGATCCCTCCAGCTGAGGCTCCCTGGAACCTCCTGCAGTGTGGTCCACCGGGCTGCACAGGGCTCTGATTTGAAGCTATAAATAAAGCTCAAATGCACATGAAATCTAGGTTCTGGAACATGTTGCAATCTGCCTTCCACAGAACTTTATTTTTAGGCCTCATTTAGCTTCTCTGCTCTTCTCTAGTACACATAAGAGAGGCCTTTTCATTCTCTGGCAGGGATGTCTATAGTCAGGACAGGGAGGAGCAGAAGGCTCAATTCTGAACCCAGTGACACAATACTGGCAAACAACATTTAGTAAGCATTCAAACTGCACCAGGCACCGCTCTGCATATGTTCTCATTTAATTCTCAAACAGCACTGTGAAGTGAGTCCTATTTTTATTCCCATTTTACAACGAAGAAACTGATACACAGAGAGAGTAAATAACCTGCCCAACATCATACACCTATTAAATGGCCAGAATTTGACCCCAGGTGACCTGTCTGGGTCGTGTTCATTCTTTTTGTTGTTTTTTCTTTGTTTGTTTTTGAGAGAGGGTCTCACTATACAGTTCAGGCCTGCCTTGAACTCATAATGTAGCCCAGTCCGGCCTTGAACTCAGGGCAATCCTCCTGCCTCAGCCTCCTGAGTGCTGGGATTACAGGCATGCACTACCACACCTGGCCACTGTTCATTCTTGGACACCAGGATTCACTGTCCCTGCACAGTGAGCAACGAGCTATGCAGTCCAGCGCTCAGCTATTAGGGAGCAGCACAGCCCAACTCCAAGGCCAGTATCCTGAGTGTGGTCCCCGAGTGTGGTCTGAGGCTCCAAGCTGGCTGTGAATCTCCCAGGAGCTTGCTGGAATGCAGAGCCTCAGGTTCCATCCCAGACTTTAAGAGCTTGCATTTTACAAGATCACCTGGTGATTCATTTGTACATTTCTGCAAATGGACTTTGCTTCTGCCTTTTGTCCTTGCATCAGATTCATTCCTACTGTGCGCTCTCCTTTGCTTTCTCTCTGTCTCTCTGAGATCCCGGTTTCTGCTTTCTGCGTTCTGGGGAAATGCTCTGCTATTTTCAACCACCCTGGGATAAGCCCTGGCAAGGGAGGGCTCAGCAGGGTTCCCAGGAAGCAACAGGCGACAGACAGAGGAGGCTCCTGGCAGGCCATTAGGGCACAACTTCTCAGGCCTGCCAGGTGACAGTTGCATAAGGTGAAAGGAACCAGAGCAGGGCTGCTCCCAGGCAAAGCTCGCTTGGGCAGGTGTGCACATTCTTTCACTCAGCAGAACCCAGCCCGCGCTGTGCCTTACCGCCCTCCTCCTCTGCACACAGCTGGCTTCTCTTTGCTCTAATCAGGGCATCCAAAAGAGACCAGCGTGTGCACTGGAGGTGCGGGTGCGGGGGTCTGGCACCTCACCCTTGGCAGTTCTAAGCTGAGCTCACATGGCCCAAATTCAAGCACATGGTCCTGTGCGAGCAGTTCAAGCTCACTCTTTGGATCCGACATGTGCAACTGAATTACATTATGTAAGTCTCCGGAAGCCAGAGGCAGACAGACGGAGAAAACCAAATTGGGATTTCCAAAAATACAGAGGACTCTGGCTTTGGGAGACTCCAGCAGGCTAGCCCTTTAGAATAAAACAGGCAGAACCTCTAGCTGAGTACTTTACCAGTGAACACCACTGTAGGGATGGCAGATTCTGAGAAAGACTTTATTTGCTGTTAATGAGGGCAGAGAGGATGAATTCTTCTTTGGGATCCAGATTGTCCCCGACCAAGTTCCTCTATTTCCAGCCAAGGTTATCTAATCATAATGATGATACTGTTGACTGGCACAGGCTGGCATATAGGATAAGCTGATAAATTAATTTCTGTTAAATAATCATAAGCCCCATGAAAAGGATAATTTAAACTCACAATTCATGACAGCCTGCTTTTTTTTGGTCTTTTTTTGAGACAGGGTCTCACTACGCAGTTCAGGCTGGCCTTGAGCTCACTTTGTAGCCCAGGCTGGTCTTGAACTCACAATGATCCTCCTGCCTCAGCCTCCCGAGTGCTGGGATTACAGGTGTGGGCAACCACGCCTGGCCATGGCACAGACTGAATTCTAAGTACCATTCGGATAAAAGAATATACTGATCCTTTCCTCATCTCAGAGAGAAAGATGAAAGTTTTTACCCCTTTTGGGCAAATGGACCTGTGTTCTCGGTGGCTGCACAGTAAAGCACTTTGCCTGGGTACCAGATAAATGGCTTTGAGAAATACAGTTTTCCCAGCAGTAAACTATAGTCCTCAATCTCTTTTTCACCAACCAAGTTCCAGGGAAACACCACTCACTTCAAACAGCCAGCAGTGTTTCACTCTCGGCATTTGGGAAGAGACAGGCTCATTCTCACCAGGCGTCTGAAGAGTTCCCAGTTTATTTCATTTACAAATTCTGGGAGAAACGGGCTGAGAGAGTAGATTTTATTTCTACCAGCTCTCTCTGTCCCAGAAGCTCCTGAAAGAGGTGCAGCAGAAAGCCAGGGACAAAATGATTGTAATATAGTGTGGCAAGAATTGTTGCCAACATCCGCCTAAGTTGCAGTTGGGAAAAAGGTAATTAAAATCTGCAAGGGTCTATTTTGAGTACCCACTACAGAATCCAGAAGCTGCTTGCATCCTCCTTTTGTTTCTGCTCTTGCTGTAGTGCCTCCTTCCAGAAGCAGCAAATGTGAGAAAGGAGGAATTGGAGAAAATGGCAAAGGGTTCAGGCCCATTGGTGCTTGAAGAGCAATCCTGATTCCAATTAGCTCACCAATTTCCTACCGCCACTAGTGCCGGCCCCCTCCCATGCCGGTGAACACGCACACTTCTTGGTTGCCTTTCTAGGCCTCCTTTAAGAGTCATCTATAGTTACTTTCATCTCACTCCACCTGCAGAAAAATGCTATGTGGGAGTGAGGATACGCAGGAGGGTAACAGAAGACAGATCTGGATCTCCTCCTCTTCTTACACAGGGACCCCACGTTTCCTGGAGCAGCTTTTCAGACAGAGCAACTCGAGCAGTTGAGAGTTAGAGTATTACGCAGCACAGTTCTCCTAGACCACTCCCCGGATCCAGAAAGAGCCACCGGAAGATTACACATATTGTAGTTATGCAGGGGTACAGTCTGCTGGCACCAGCGCGCCTCCCTACCGCCAACCCTGGGCACAAAACAGAAGGCCGCCCTGCCTTCAATCCATCTGGGAGCAAGAACGGTGGGGCTGGGAGGACCGTGTGTGTTGCCAGGCCCAGGCGCAGTTACCGAATTTGATCTGTTTTATGTTATTTCACCTCTTTCTCCGGGATGCCAGCACTAATTAGACTTCCTGCCAATGCACTGCAGCGACACACTTCCCAGGTTGCCTGGCGAGGTCTGTGCTTTTCTAGTCAGTGCATCTCAGGCTTTGCTGCAATGAGCTCATTAAAAACCCTAATGTCAAGGCCAGAACAAGTCAACAAGGATTGGGGGGCGCATACCTCCTCTAAGGACCCTTTGGCGATTCCAACGTGCAGCCAAGACTGACTGCCAGGGCGTTGCTCTAGTCCATCTCCCTACGTTATTTTTTCACAGCACTTAGTTCTACTAAGTGATGGTTATTTAGATGTCTTTCTCCATTACAACAAAGGCTCTGGCAGTTTTGGGAACACAGACACACACCTACTCCTTCACAACACCCACAGCAGTGTCTGGCAGACATTAGGAACTCAATAAATAATCAGCAGATTAACATCTGCATTCCTGCACGGCCCTGACTTGGAGATTTAACTCAGGCATCAGAGCTGCTGCATTCCTTCTCTCCTTCACTCCCTCGAAAGCACCATCACAAAAGGGCGCCCCACAAAAATTCATAAACACAATTCCTAGTAAAAATGGACCTTAATCAGCAGCAGAGCTTTTGTGAATCTCCACGGTCACAAAGGAGCACGCAGTACTGTGCAGTGGTCCCCAAAACCCAGTAGAAGAAGAGCCGCCTTCAGGACAGTGTAACAAGCAGGAAGCTTGGATTCTATTTAGTCTGCTCCGGTTGGCACGCTGCCAAAAGAAGGGGGACAAAGTCTGAGGCTGGTTTAGTGTCCACACTAGCGATGGTCATTTGAGGGTGTCTGTCAACCCAACCTCCTATGTATAGAAACTGGAGCAATTCAGAGCAATAGAGCAGACTATAAACAGTGTGGGCAGGCTCTTCACACGACTATCTTTAGCTGTTCCCTCTATACAAATGGGTCAGGAGGGGGCATTTAACAGACCTACTGCTAGGAGCACGCAGTCACTTAGCAGGGCACACACCACAGAGGAGAGAGAATGGAGGGCTGAGAGTCTCTGTATCCTGGGGAAAAAAACCCTGCCTATCTGGGCAACAAGGCCGTGAGCAAACAACCCTCAGAACAATGCAAACAAACCAAGCCAGTGCTGTAGGGTCTTAAAAAGTGATGGGTACGCTGTGTATCAAAACCCTCTGTTTTGCATACAGTTATCCAGAAAATATACCAGCTACCTGTTAATCCTTTCTGTGGTCCTGGAAAAGGATTTCATCTCCTGACAGCTACCAAAAAGGATCCCTTGATATCACGGCTTTCCTGCTCCTAACCCTTACCACATCAATTCATAAAAGTATAGTCTATAATGACTCAATTGTCCTCTAAAACCATCTCATGAGAGGAAGCGGAAGGGAGTGACACTTAGGTTCCTTTGAAAAATAGCCGGGTGTGGTGGCGGGCGCCTGTAATCCCAGCACTTGCGAGGCTGAGGCAGGAGGATCATTGCGAGGTCGAGACCAGCCTGGGCTACAAAGTGAGCTCAAGGCCAGCTTGAATTGCACAGTGAAACTCTGTCTCAAAAAAGAAAAAACAAAAATTTTTTTTTTTTCTAACAAGGTCATAGTGGCTGAAGGGATTCTCTATAATGAGTTAAGTACTGCTTTAGTGCTCAGGACTAAAAGTGCCTCTACCTGAAAATGCCCTTGGGATCTTTAGCTATAAAACAGGGAGAAGGTCCTAGTAAAGGCTAAGCAGGGTCTCTAGACACCTCCAGAGGCCCAACTCAGAGGGGAGGGAAGCCAGGATGGGAGAAAGGGAGAATTCAAATAAACCGGCAGCTTACGGATGACCTCCAGGAGCCCAGCAATGAGCTCATTTGAAGAATGTGAGCAGAAACCCGTCCCTGCAGTCAAACCACAATACAGCCTTGCGTCCTTCCTCCTCTCCCCGAGCACGCCCCTTACAGCCCTCCCCAGGGAATCCTCGCTGGGCCACTCACTGGCTGCCAGTCTCTGGGCAGGCCGACTCTGTGCCTGTAGGTCTCGAGGGTACCATCTGTACAATGGGGGCCAAGGTCTCTCCCCCCCCCCCCACGCATGTGGTGGGGCGCTGAGGGTGACACTGCGAAAGCGCTGTGTCGGAGGTGGCGCCCCGGCCTACGGAGGGCACGGGGACAAAGCACTCCCCATCCTCCCTGCCTGTCTCCCTCGGCCGGAAGGGACTGACCCGGCCTTCCGCCCGCTAACCGCCGGCCCCTTACCTCCAGCGGTTGATCCCCACGGAGGAGGAGGCCGCGAACCACGGGTCGAGGATGTAAACGCAGCGCACGCAGCGCGCCCCGCGCACGGCCGCCAGCAGCGCCGGGTTGTCGTGAAGCCGCAGCCCTTTGCGGAACCAGTGCACCGAGCAGGCGCCCTCCGCGCCGGTCACCTGCGTCGGGGCCGCGGCCGTTCCTGACCCCGCAGCAGCCGCCATCTCTGCTCAGACTGCTCCAGCCGCTGCCGCTCCGCCCCAGTCGGAGCCTTAGGCCACGCCCACAGCCCGCCCAGTGACCTATGACTCCTCCGCTTCTCTCCGTGGCCCCGCCTCCAGAACGCTCAAGCGTCCCTGTCATTGGCTACACGTCTCCTGGCCCGCGATTGGCCCAGTGGCATGGGTCCGACCCCGCCCCCTCACGTTCCCACCATGTGTCGTCCCGCCTGAGAGACGCGGGTTACCCGGCGAGTGACGCAGGTCTGAGCTCCGGCGGAGGTCGGGGCGTGGGCCAGTCTCGAGGACTGCGGATCCCTTACACGCGTCCTGGGCAGGGCCCGCCCCGGGAATGAGCTGTCTGGGCTGGAGGAGGTTGCTGCAGTCCGGCCAGTGACTTACAGAACTGCCAACCAGCGTTTCCCTATCACCATCGATGATATCATCATGGATGTGGTTCCACTTCACCTGCCTTTTCCAACAGAAGCGCGTTTCTTGCACGCTAAGCTAGTCGACAATCTGTTTCCGCAAACTACCTTACTATCTGCTCGCTACCCGTCCCAGGTGCAGTCACTCAACAAAGCCCAAGGAAAGAGCTGCTGTTAGTCTCATCCTACAGATAAAGCATAGAGGGAGTGTCCAGCGACAGGTTCTGTGTTGTAAGGCGACAAAGGATATTCGCCCAGATTATTCTGACCTCAGAGTTCTGCTTTTACCCACGGAGCTATACTTGCCTGTGCCGAGATGCTTGGGATTTTCCAGTGGCAGAATCTAGAATGAGAGAAGACTGCCCTTACCGACAGCCGTGGAGGGTTTGGCAGGAAGGAAGGAATGCAGAGTATGTGGGCTGAGATAGTAATTACGCTGTCATATGAATTTATTTTCTTTCAGTCTTATGTTTTGTAGTCCCTGTGGTACACTGTGCACAGACTGGATTCCATGTGGGAGTCAGAGATGAGGCGGGCACTGTCCCCAGGCCCGGGGGCCAGGTAGAGCCCTCTGATTCTTCTGGAGTCTGGCAGAGGGTCTGCTGATTGACTGGGCGACTGACTGAATGGCAAGAGAATCTGTAAATACCAGCAGCAGTGTCAAGGGTGGACTAAGGTGGCCTCGTTGAGGCTGGAGCTCTTGAGTTACTGGGTGGAGAATGATCTGCTTCAGTTTGGCCGACCATTGATCCCATGGTCAGAGCCCCTCCTGATCTCAGGAATGAGCAACGGAGGAAGTTAGCAATTTAGTCAGCAAAGTAGTGACATTAATTGCAGCCAGTCTACAAAGCCAAGCGTCAGTACAATCATAGCTTTCTCTCATTTCTAGGGCAATGTACAAACTGTTCTCCCGGCATGGGTCACTTGCCCCACCCCACACAGTAACTCCTGCTGACCCTGCGTCAGTGCCCAGAATAGATGCCACCTTCTGCGTGCCGCCTCCCTGCGGAGTGCCCCGTCTCATTCTGTGCTTCCTCTTGCTCTCTGGCCTCGGCACGCGTGTGGGCACGTCCTGCTTCCTTGTCTGTCTGCCTCATCAGACTAGAAACTCCTAGGAGAGCAGGGCCGTGGCTTGTTTATACTTGTATCTCCAAGGTCTAGCTCAATGCTTTCCATGTAGCACTCACAGATTATTATTTTTTTGTTTTTGTTTTTTTCCAGTACCGGGAATCGAACTCGTGACCTCGTGCTTACCAGGCAGGCGCTGTGCCGCTGAGCTAAATCCCCAGCCCCACCACAGATTATTTGAGTAAAAGGAACTAGAGTCTTTGTTTGACAAGGCCCTTCAAGGCTATATATTATATATTATATATATAAAATATATATTTTTTTATTTAATTAAAACATTTTTTGAACTATGTAGTTCAGGCTGGCCTTGAACCCACTATATAGCCTGATCTGACCTGGAACTCTTGGGGATCCTCTTGCCTCAGCCTTCTGAGTGCTGGGATTACAGGCCTGTGCCACCATGGCGGCTCTGTCCTTAGTTTTTAATCCTTTCTTCAAATGCTTGCTGGGCTGGGTTTGGTGGCACATGCCTATAATCCCATACTCGGAAGGCTGAGGCAGGAATATTGTTGCGAGTTTGAGACCAGCCTGGGCTACAAAGTGAGCTCAAGGCCAGTCTGAATTGCATAGTGAGACCCTGTCTCAAAAAGACAAAAAACAAAACAAAAAAACCCCAAACAAATGCTTGATGGATGAATCAGTGGCATTTCTTATAACTTTTCTTTTGAGGAACTGTTGCCCTCCTCTTCTACCCCTCTTTCCCTCCAGACTTATGCTTGCTAGGAAGGGAGTATAGAGTGTAAGGAGGTGTTTTCTTCCTAAACAGTCCCCAAAGTGGGCATTCTTTTCTTTTCTCTCCTGCACTCCTGTAATGCTATAACTGTAAGCTATGAGCTCCGTGGGGACAGGGCCTGTGCTATCTCACCAAGTGGTGCATTCCCAGCACATTCTGGTGCCTAACATGTAGTAGGTGCTCAATAAATATTTGCTAAATGATGGAATCACTTATCTCTACCTCACTAGGCTACCTGGAGAGGCAGTGCTATGCAATGGTTATGACAAAGTTCTTGCACACTGGAGTAGCTGAGCTTGAACTGTGGTTCTGCTTTTATTGAATGTGACCTTGGATAAGCTTGTTAACCTCTCCTCTCCTCACTTTCTTAGTCACCTCTCCTCTCCTCACTTTCTTAGTCACCACAGATGAATTATTGTGCCCAAGTAGAGATGCTAATGGTGTCCAGGATGTGCTAAACACTTTTACTATGTCAATGATTATTACTCTGAACAGCAGAATCGGTGGCTGATTTTGCCTTCTTTATAATACCCAACCCTGAGTTTGTTTACTTGTTTGTTTTGTGGTACCTGGCATTAAACCCGACTTGTGATTCTCCTGCTTCAGCCTCCCAAAGTGCTAGGGTACTGGTGTGTACTTCCATGCCGAGTGCTGAGCCTTACATGTAATATGTGCTCCATAAATCTCTGAGTGGATAAAATAGACTTTGTCCATCTAAGCTTAGTAGCTTTAAGGGCTGGAGATATAGCCCAGCGACACAGCCAAACACGAGGTCGTGAGTTTGATGCTCGGAACCAAAGAACCAAAACTTCTAGCCCGGCATGGTGGCGCACACTTATAATCACAGCACTTGGGAGGCTGAGGCAGGAGAATCATTGAGAGTTTGAGGCCAGTCCGGGCTTCAAAGTGAGCTCAAGGCCAGCCTGAACTGCATAGTGAGACCTTGTCTCAAAAAGACAAAACAAAACCTTTAACGAAAGCAGAAGTGCATTGTTGGCTTGTACTTTTAAAATTTAAAATACCAAGCATGGTCTGTTTTGCTTCGTCATTGTCTTTGTTCTGTACTGTTTGCGTTATCATCAAGTTGCTAGAGATGAATTATTGTGCCCAAGTGATTGCTTGTTGCTTGGTTATATCAATAGGGTAACATCCAACAACCAGGAAGTAGATCTAACACTGGATAGGATATTGGAGGCAAAGTCCATTTGTGGTTTTGAGGGACACAGAGAAACTGGGGTGAGATCGAGAATCCTGTATGATGCTAAAGAAGCGCAACAGATAGCTGGTTACCTCAGACCTTTACACCTTGTTCTCTATAAGCACCTCTGAACCGTGGCTGCTGTGAGGGTGCGAAACACCGGCTCCTTGTTTCCAAGCACCGTAGAACAGAACCTGGGTTACACCAGGCTGGGCGAGATTTAGCCGGACTTCTTAGGCCCTCCAGGGATGAGACAATTTCTCCAGGAAGTGGGAGCGGTCTTTCTTCTCCGAAGATATTTAAGAAGGCACATCAGTCTTGTTTTGTCTCTTTTTGTCAAAGTCCTGCACGGAGACTGATTTACTCAACTTTGTACATTCTTTTGAATTGAGCCTTGAGTAGACGTCAGATGATTGGTTGATGGTCAGGGAGATAGAGCCGCGCCCTCTAGTGGTGAGATTGGGGAATTAACGGCTCTGGGTGGGCTCTTTGGTCACGTGCACATGCGCAGTGTAGAGCGGCCGGTTTTTTTTTCCTGTTTCCAAGACTACATGCAAAGCCACTTGCAGGCAGTGGAAAAAAAGGTAGTTTTTTAAACTCTTAAGCTCGCGAAGCCGCGAGAATTTTTGAAAGCACGTAAACCCTAGCTCCTAAGTTCCTTTTCCAGCTCGATTAACTAGCAAGTTACATATTTACTTGGGCGAGCTCTTTGATGGCTCTGTGCCTCAGTTTCCTCATTTGTAAGATGAAGATAACGCTGATAGTGATACGGTGCAATAAAAAAAATTTTTTTTTGGTACCGGGAATCGAACTCAGTACCTCACGCTTTCCAGGCAGGCTCTGCACCACTGAGCTAAATCTCCGGCCTGCAGTATGGATTTAGAATACGGTAAATAGAAAAATGGCTCAGAATTGAGAGTCCAGAAACATCTTCACGTCAGCCCTGACATTTTACTCATGGCAAAGACAACTTAGTAAAGAAGCAGGGAGAAGGTGGCTTATTCCGTCCAGGGTCACGGACGGATCACAGATCCCAGTGGAAAAAATAAAACTTGACCGCATTTCACACCACATGCACGGGTCAGTTCCAGGCAGATTATATGCGTAATAGGAGAGACAGACAGTTGCCATGTTACTGTTGGGAGTGTAAATTGATTCAACCATTTTAAAAAACTGGCATTATACACTAAATTAGAACAAAACAAATACCCTAGAAGGGAAAATAACATACCCCATGACCTAGCAGTTTCATTCCTAGCACATACTTAACAGGAATCTGTGCACGTGTGCAACAAGAGACACATACGGGAATGTTCATAGGAGCCTTATTAGTCATAGTTCTATACTTGAAGCAACTCAAATGTCCATAAGGAGTAGAATTGATAAATTGTGGTATATCCAAATAAAAGAATACTATACAGCACTAAAAATGAACAATCTCTAGCTATAGGGGACATGGATGAGTCTCACAAACACACACACAAAAAAATTTATACATCCATTGTATAAAGTATAAAACATTTATATATCCACTCTATAAAGTTCACAG